GAAGCAATCCTCAGTTCCTCACTTTCTCTCTAGGATACAGAGAAAGGCTGGGGGTGTCTGTAGGTCCATCAGTCAGGCGTTTCCCAGGCTGAAAGCCCCGCAGATTGCTGGCTCTGGGAGTGCAGGCTGAGCCTGAAGGAAGAGATTCCCTTCTCCTGATGCTGTCTCACCCTAGCTTCTCAGTGGCCCAGCTTGCAATTCTTTCTCCTCCCAGGAAAACCCTCATCATCATTAGTAATATTTGTTGAGCACTTTTCTTCATGACAGGAGCCTTTTTTTTTTTAAATCATTGGGCCATACTACACTCAGTACCATTGACCTCAGGATAGGAAGAAACCACCTGTGCATGGCCACCTTTCTCCTTTAGGTCAGTTTCACCAGGCAAGTCGTACGACGCAGGATGTTATCTTCAAGGACAGAGCAGGGACAGTCTTTTTCTTTCCTACTAGATTTCCATCCCCTCTACCTTGGGTTTAGACCCTAGGCATTCTGTGATATAAAGTCTTGGATACCACCGTGCGTGTGTGTGTGTGTGTGTGTGTGTGTGTGTGTGTGTGTGTACGTATGGCTGTATGTATGTGAGGGAGCTGTGGTCTCACCCAGCAGCCTTTGAGAATAAAGGGGCTCTTCCCGAGCTGCTCGTTATTCAGCCAATCATTCATGAATTCACTCAATAAGTGTCTGAGAGGCCAGGCACTGGAGATTAAGAGAAGAACAATACAATCTCTCTGCCCTCTAGAAACTGACAGTCTATTGAATGAAACAGTTGTCCAACAATTACAATTGAGAGTGATCAATCCTGATGGCAGGACTCTAACCTAGGGCACATAACCCACTCTAGGGTTACTGGCAAGAGAAAGCTTCCGGGAAGAGGTAACTTTTAGGCAAAAACCAAACTGCTGACAAACTAAGAGTCAGGTGGCAAAAGTACTGTCATTTCTTAGCAATTCTTTTTTTTTTTTTTTTTTTTTTTTTTTTTTGGTGCCCTGGATTGAGGACATTGTGCTTGAGAGGCAGAGAGTAGAATACTTAGCAATTCTTATGAAGTAGGGTAACAGACTCCAACAAAGTCAATGTGGGTAGGCAGAATATAGCTGAAATTGATGTGCTTACCACAAGAGAGAAAGGCTGTACACAAACAATGTAAAATCGAATACAGTTCCTTCAATAAACCACTGATCCGATTTTTTCTTTCTTTTTTGTATCAGGGATTGAACTCAAGACCCTGAGCTTGTGAGGCAGGCAGAAGCACCACTGAGCTAAATCCCTGGGCACCTGACTTTTGACAATTAAAAAGGGGGGGCTATTTCAAATTCATAAAGCCCAGCTTTCCAAAGAAATAGATTAGATAACCTGAAATAGTCTCTAATCATAGCATCAGCTTTAAAAGTGGAGTGTTTTGTGATATTCTTACATTTTAAGACTAAAACTACACCTTAAAAAAAAATCCTAGAAAAACATTCCTGATCACCTTACATTTTTGTTGTTGTCGTTGTTTTTGGTAACAGGGATTGAACTCCAGTCCTTGTGCTTGCAAGGCAGGCAGTGGCTGAACCACTGAGCTCCACCCTATACTTCTTACTTTGGCAAGACACAGTGGCCCCTGGGGCCCAGGATTTAGTTCAGTGGTGCTGTGCCTGCCTGGCAAGTGCAAGGTCCTGGGTTTGAATCCTGGTACTGGGAAGGAAAAAGAAAGAAAGAAAAGGACACATGGCCTCTCCTATAGGGCTGCTGAGACCAGGAGATCAGGAGTCTCCCGGCTGCTTCAACTGTCCCTTTGATTCAACCCACAGCGGTTATCTGCTGATTTAAAATTGACAGTGTCCTCCTTATCATTTAACCTCTACTACATCACTGTTATCAGCGCTGGGGACACCTTTGCCAAAGGAAAGTCTTTATTTATTTTATTTTTATTTTTTTGAGACAGAGTCTTGCTATGTAGCCAAGGCTGGTCTCAAACGCCACCATGCTTGGCTACTTTTATGTCTTTTGTTTCATTTTGTTTTTTTCTATACTGGGAAATGATTTTAGAACCTTCACACTGAGCTACAGTCTCCAGTCATTTATTTTTTAATTTTGAGACAGAGTTTTAGTAAATCACTAAATTGCCTAAGCTAGACTTGAATTTGTGATCCTCCTGCCTCAGCTTCCCAGAGTTGCTGGGATTACAAGGGTGTGACACCATATCCGGCCTGAATGTTTCATTTGATAAGAAATTAGCAAACAGGTCTCCAAACTGGTTTGTATCATTTTACATTTCCAGATGGATATGAGATTTCTGATTTCTGTGCCTCTTTGTCACTTTTACTAATTTTTTAACAAAATTTTAGCCACGATAATGAATGTGAAATGCTATCTCATTGTAGTTTTAATTTGCATCTTCCTGATGACTAATAAATCAAGGAGCTGGGCTTGGTGGGCATGCCTGCAATCCCAGCAGTCTAGAAGCTGAGGCAGAAAGATTGTCATAAATTCAAAGTCAGCCTTGGCTACACAGTAAGTTCTTGGCCAGCTCGAACTACGTAGCAAGATCCTGCTGCAAAAAGTCCAAAACAAGGGCCCAGGATTTAGCTCAGTGGTTCCACCACCTGCCATGTAAGTGCAAGGTCCTGAGTTTGATCCCCAGTACCAAAAAAAAAAAAAAAAAAAAAGACCAAAATAAAAAAATTACCTACAGGAAGGCTGGGGATTAACTCAGTGGCGCTATGCCTGCCTTGCAAGCACAAAGTCCTGAGTATGATCCCAGGTACCGCCAAAAAAAAAAAAAAAAAAAAAAAAGAAAAGAAAAATTACCTACAGGATATTCACACCATTAAATTGGAAATGATTGAATTGTTTGCCAAAATGTGACCAGTTAAATATATATGGTATATATTTTGTTACTGTTGTTTTAAAACAGGGTCTTGCTATGTTGCCCATGCTGGTCTTGAATTCCAGGGCTCAAGTGATCCTTCTATCTCAGCCTTCCAAATATAGTAGCTGGGTTATAGACTACATATGGTTTGCTAGAATATTAAGCCATTAAAATAAGGTAGAAATGTTTATTGGAACAGGAAAAGTCACAACACAGTGTTTACTTTATTTATTTTTTTGGTTCTGGGGATTGAACTTAGGACCTTGAGCTTGTCAGGCAGGCACTATGCCATTTGAGCTAAATCCCTAGCCCCACACTATTCATTTTAAAAGTAGATTACCAGCTAGGCTCAAGGTAAGCATTTGTAATACCAACTACTCAGGAGGCTGAGGTAGGAGGATCACTGGAGCCCAAGCCACTTCTAAAAAAAGCTTAAAACTATATTACCACATGGTAATATGGAATGATTTATCTTTCCTTCCTTCCTTTCTCTCTCTCTTTTTCTTTCTTTCTCTCCCCTCCCCTTTCTTTTACTGGGGATTAAACCCAGGGCCTTTGCACTGACCTACATTTTTCTCTATTTTGAGACAGGGTCTCATTAAGTTGCTAAATTGCCCAGGCTAGTTCAGACTTCTGATACTTCAGCCTCACTCTCCCAAAGTCCTAGGATTACAGATGTACTCCACCATGCTCCACTGACAGCATATTTTTTGACAGAAAAATATGTATTTATACATAGAAAATATGTATATAGAAAATATGTATTTATATATAATGAATCAAAAGATATAATCAAATGTCAAAAGTGGTTACTAATTAACTGGATGATGAGAGTATGAGTAACTTCTATTTCCTCCCTTTGCTATGTTTTTTGCAACAAATATATATTGCTTTTAGGGGCTGGGGATTTAGCTCAGTGGTTCCACCACCTGCCTTGCAAGCGCAAAGTCCCAAGTTTGATCCCCTCAGCCTCCCAAATGCTGGGATTACAGGCACATGCCACTACATCTAGCTAAAAAATTACTATTGATAAAAAAAATTTAAATCTGACCAGGAACATTTTGTACCTCTTCCATATTTCAGAAAAGATCTGGGACTACAGAATATTTCTCTTCACCCACAACCTCAGATGTACTCACCCTAGGTGACTAGGTACAATTTCTTTCCCTGCACCTAAGGTGGTCCTGACCTAATGGCAGGTGAGGTAATGAGCCTTGCCATTCACCTACTGTGTAACTTTGGCAAGATCCTTCCCTAAGTTGGACTCCAGTTTTTTCTTGTCTAAACTCAGGAGTTAGAATCAAAAGATCTTCAAGGGTCCTTTCCACATAGAAGGAAAAAGATACAAATGCGGGACTCCGAGTGTTTGAGAACGTGACCATTACTTCTCAGAAAGATATTCCTTACTTTTCTCCTGTGTCTGTAGCCACATAATGAGCCACTCCCAAATCAGGTCTGGCCTCAGTCATTCTGGTCATGGTGTAGGACTCAGCACACACTAGGTGCTTAGTGAATTACCTTTTTGTCTCCATCTACTATGAAACAACTCCACCTATTTCAGGCTTGCTTATCAGTGGGTACCCTGATGGTAACCTGAAGCTCACAGTGGGTTTTAGCTACTGCACTTTTTTCCTAAGGTAATTGGTACAATGCATATTTGTAAGAATTTTCCATACAGAGGTCTGGCCAAATCTAGGGCCTTTGTACTGAGCTACACCCCCTCCCCCAAGACAGGGTCTCGATATGCTAAGCTTCCCTGGCTAGGCCCAAATTGTGATGCACCTGTCTCAGCCTCCCTAAGTGCTAGGATTATAGGCATGAGTCACACCCCTGGGTGGACACCTTTCCTAAAGCTGAAAGACCAGTGGCCGGGACTGAACAGCGATATTCAAAGCATCTTCAGCTACGGCCTTTGTCGCAAGGGCCCGTCTCGGAGACTCAAGCTCCAAAAACCTCATTCCCGGTGGGTGTCTAGGCTGATAGTACACAACATCCGGAAACGGATCTGCTACGACCTGAGGCGTCAGAAAAGTCCAAAAAACTGTGTGACCTTGGACAAGTCCCTTCCTCCTGCGGGAAAGTTGCAGTTGGCTTAAGCGATTTCCTCCGGGAACTGCATCCCGGACAGTCAACCGTTGTAAAAAACATGTGCCTTTCAACGTTCCTTGATCATCGATCACACGAGCTTGGAGCACCAGAAGCAGAGGACTTACAGGGGTCGCAGCGCCAGAACGTGCAGAACCCTAGCATGCCCCAGGTCTCGCGAGATCTCCTCCCAGCGCCGCGCGACGTCATCCCCTCGGGGGCTGAGGCGGCCGCAGGGACCGCGCGTCCTTACCCACAGGGGCGGACCGTATCCCTCCGCCGTCG